CTCCATCAGGCTTGTGCCTCTTCTAGTGTCATTTTAAAGTATTTTATTTATTTATTTAACTATTACTAGATTACCAGCAACAGAAATGCTACTAAAAACACATAATTATGTGAAGCTGTAAAAATTACAATGCTGTGCAAAATTACATTCATTTCTGTAATTTAACTAGACTGAGAGACCATTTAAAGGCTTGGGAAAGTTTACAGGTGTTTCTATTTGCAATTTTAAATTTGAGCTGATTGGGGTCTTGTTAAATATCACACAGTGACCTCAATTTTCCTCAGGGATTAATAAAGTATTTTTGAATTTGAATTTAATGTTCTAGATTAGTGTAATGTTCCTGTTAGTAGTTCCTCCTGTTAAGTGCTTATTTATTTAAATTATTCAGGTTTATAAAAAACATTTGGACATACATTTTATTATGTTCCAGTCGTTAGTCATTTATATTTTACTATTGTAGTAATTCTTGCATGCTTTAATGAAAAAAGTAACTAAGTAGTTATTTTTCTTGGTAATTAGTTACTTTTATAATCTTGTAACTCAGTTTGAAACTGAGTTACTTTTTTGACAAAGTAATCAGTAAATATAATTAATTACTTTTTTAAAATAACGTTCCCAACACTGGTCCGTGGAAATTCTAACTTCCCAGTAGGAAAAATCAAATAAAAAAGGACGGCAAAAGGAATGAAGATACAAAGTAAATTTAGTTCACAGTAGAGATGTTTGCTTCAGTTTAATTATCAGCTTATAAAACTACAAGGACGATGTTAAAATACAAACAGTTGTATGTTATTAATTGTGATATTTATCAAATATGATTATAAATTGAGAAAAATATACATTTAATTATAAAAGAGAATTAAAATATTAAACACTCAAAAGTATCTAAAATTGGTACCGTTAAGTACCGGTAGCGATTCCTAGGTACTGGGAATTGGTACTGAATCGATTCAAATGTCAAAGGTACCCATCCCTAGAAGCAACTGACTTGCCTAAGATGCTGTCGCAGGCTAGTTTTGTCGGACCGTGCATCGGCGGAGTTTCACTGAAAAAACTATTTGATTTCCTGGTATAATTTCAGGCTGACAAAAATAACTCATATTTAAGATAAATGACATCTCAATAGCGCCAACGGTAATATTTATTCATATACTGTGCCTACCTTTGCTATCAAAGGTTTAAAATAGCATGATATAGAACCTTTAAAGTTTGTGACATATTTAGCCATCTTAGTTTCATTAAAAAAAATGAACTGACATAATTCTCTATGAAAACACTTTTAGGATTGTTAGTCTTTAGTCTGCAAACAGTTGAGTAGATGTGTTTAAATGAGTGAAACTTTGACATTAAAAGCAGAAGTTAAAGGAATCCACTTAATGGCATCCACGCAATGCTGATTTACTTCTCCATCACAGGCTGAAGGGAGAAGCTGCTGCCAGAGAAAATGTCCTGTGGTCTCTGGCAGGACACTGTTTGAATGAATCCATCTGAATGTCTCCACCTAGCTGCCACAAACTGCTCCTCTCTGTGATACAGTCTGATATTTTAGCCTCATGGATTTCACAAGAAATCTTTTGTCTCCGTCTACTGGACACTAACAATGAAGTTACCTTCAAAAGGAACCAATTCTGGCATCTAAATGTTATTTTCATTTTCTTTATTTATAGTTGAACAAGAGAAATGGTCAAACATTAGAAACTAACAAAAAGCTCAGCAAACAAATAGAAATTCTGCAAAATATTGAGACACATTCAAACTGTATTTATAATTCAGAGCCGTCTCAAATGTATAGAAACACATTTAGTCTTCATTACCACATTTCTCTGATGAAAAGAAAGTTAACGTTAATAGTTTCAAATACAACCGAACCTCATATCATATAACACATCATGTGTGACTGGTGCATGTAAAAGGCTTCACAGAACTTAAAAACAATCACAAAAACAATGTCACCAGATGATTGGCTAATGGGCTGCATGGTGGCACAGTTGGTATCTTTCTTTCCTCACAGCAAGAAGGTTTAAGGTTCAAATGCCAGCTGTGGCCTTTCTGCGAGAAGTTAGATTGTTCTCCCATGCATACAAAAAGTGAGTACAGAAAGTATTCAGAGCTCCATCAATTTTTCACTCTTTGTTATATTGCAGCCATTTACTTAAAGGGACTTTACGGAGTTTTGAATTTTTAGGCTCACGATTGCCCCCTCAGGCCAAAAGCGTAACAGCAGCTTCAATAGTATGCTCGTGCACGAGGCGTGCATGCTGTACGTGCACACTCCTTAACGAAAATAACAGCTGAGACAGTCCTGTGTGTGTGTGTGTGTGTGTGTGTGTGTGTGTGTGTGTGTGTGTGTGTGTCCTGGAGGACAGAGGACAGGAGAACGCGCAGCTAATTAATTAAATAATTTGGTTCTGTACCTTTCTCTTCAGCACAGCCGACAAAGGTTTAAGATGGGTCAGTCCTCCTGCATGCTCAGATCATTCCCTTCCCTTGCTTGAAAAATTGTTCCAAAATGAAATTTGAACCCACATCTTTTTTATCTGTGAATTCAATGCCGTTCGGCGAGTCTCAAATAAAAATTTGGGCATCTTACTGTAAAAAAATATACCATTAATGTAAAAAAGAAACTAAATTAACTATGTTCACACCCAGAATCGAACACAGGATTTCTGCACAGGAGTCTAATGTCTTATTAGGTGAGCTAAAGTGCCAGTGACATATTTTGTATCTGTAACTTTTATATCCTTGATGACAGCTGAAACGGAGCGAAAATGGCTATTTTGTTGCTAATTTGAAGGAAATATCTAGAAGAAAGTTCTACAGAAAGTAGCTAAGGGTCCTCAGAAATGAAGCTAGGTTCGTCACTAGGCGTTAGGAACAGCGACAAAGTGGCACTACCTCACTCTCTGCTGCTAAATCTACTGATAGCAAATGCTACGGGCTATGCCTGAGCGTGAACGCGCATGAAGCATCCTGCTCGACCCGAGCATCTCTCTTTTTCTGTGATTTTACAGAAAAACAGGCAATCACAGTAAAAATGCCAGGGCTCATTCTACAGGACCAGGGCATTGCAGGAGAATGTATGAAGAAGACATTTATTATTTCTATACATGTTTTGGCTGTCAAACTTCCATAATGCCCCTTTAAATAAAATTGATGGGTGTTTCTCAATGTCAAAGCGCCTGGCCTTGCGAGGTGATGTCTTGTGAGGCTAGGCGCCTTGCTGACGAGGACGCTGTCCTTCCTTGGTTAAAGGAAACAGTTAAATGGAACAGACTTGCATCACGTGACCGCGGCTTCCACGGTGGTCACGTAACGTGACACAGTAGATAACGTTATATTTTATACGTATTAGTTTCAATACAAATATATAACAAGCCTTTTACTTTTTAAATTGTGTATATGTTTGTTAAATTAAATATGTGAGTTACTACCCGTGTTACGTGCCGTGCCCCTTTTCAGCCACAAGATGGCCCCAGACGCCTTTGCCTCGCCTGTCTCCCGTTTGGAATCAGGAAGCAGCTGTTAAAAGCTGCTCTCCTGCCCTTAGTCAGTGAGAAGATCAAGGATAGTGCAGACTGGGAACAGTTTGGGCTATTCTCTTCTCCTCGGTTGTTATTTGATGATATTCGGTTTGCTCGCTCATTTTGGTAAAGAACTCGTTGTGGATTTGGATTTAGGATAAGACTGTTTGGCAATTTGACTTTGGACCGGCATTTGGACGTAGACTTTAGGATCTCCCCTTTTGAATCTACATATATATAATTATTCTCGGTTTTCTTCCCACCCCCTTCTGGGGTGGCGTTTTTTGTTTCCCCTTTTGTAAATATATCTCCTCTTGTTTTGTGTATATAGTATTGGTTTCTAGGTTCTTTGTAAATATCCCTTGGTTTTGTAATAAAAGATTCTTGTTTTTTAAGCGACACAGCACTTTGTTTATTATTAATCCACACACTAATTTTATTACTCCCCCTCATCTCTCCTAGAGAGCCGGGGACGTAATAACCCGCTAGCCACCAAAGCTGCTACTACTAAGCAGCTAACCAACCATAGATAACTTCTTTGGATCTAAAAAAAAACATTTTCAATTTTTTGTCTTACTTTTAAACTTGAAATTTGACCCCAAAGTAGCTGTTGGCTTCTGATCTGCCATCCTTTTGAAAATACCATGGTGTATTCTGGGTAATTTTTGTTACAGTACCCCCTTCTATGTCCCGACCATGTCGACACCCCCCCAGCCCTCACACCAGGGCGTGGCTTAGGGGCTATATACATACATATATATATATATATCCCCATAGCCAGTTATTGGCGTAGATTTGCTCGACATTGGTGGGGACTTGTAAGTCTACCATCCTCTCAGGACCCTTGGTTACACTCACACACTTTTGACCCCACGAGTCACTCTCGTTGCATTGCAAACACAGGAGTCTTGCATATGACTGGAACATTTTCCTTCCAGCTTTGGTGTTTAAATTGGTTAGTTACATAGTTTATTTATTTGATCTATTTTTTTAATGTATTCTTTCTTTATACGTGCTTTTTAAACAATTTTTGTACCTTGATTTATGATCAACATTATTTTAATATCTATATAACTTTTATATTACAATTCTCATTTTTAGCTCTTTGGATTTTATATTTTAACCTTAATTTAACCTTTTTCCAGTGCTCCCTCTGTCCCGGCGGTGGTGGTCGGCTGTGGCGGCCTGGGTGCTTTCCATGTGTGCCTGGGTGGTGGTGGGGGTCTCTGTCCTCCCTGACCTGGGCGCCTGGTGTCAGTGCCTCAGCTGCTGCTGAAACTTATATTTGGTGTAATAATTTAAATATTTAAATCATCAAAATTTAAAATCATGTTTTAAATTCAAGAGCGATTGAAGACTAAATAGAAATTCAAATCTGGAGTGAATTTGCTGTTAATGTGTATTACTCTGTGGCGCCGAGGCACTTGTCAGAATGACCCTCATGCGCTCCGGAGGAAGGTAATACTGAGGAGGCCGTTGTCCAGTGCAGACCCAAGTGTACTTTATTTACATTTAACAAAATTAAAATCCAGGCAGCACAAATCCATGCCTGCCGCTCCATCCAACACTCAACTCTCTCCAACAAACACAGAGCTGTATTTATAACAGGTGTGCCTAATTGGATTAATCCTAAAACTCAGACACAGGTAAATACAAAAATACAATCTTCCAATACTCTTAAATGATACTTAAATCATCATCTCTAAGATCTCATTAAATTATTACAATACAAAAATAGAAACATCCTTAATCAATCCTAAAAACATTCAGTGAAACTAATCTGCATTCCTGGAGCAATTTCACAGGTCACCCCTCCCATTCCTACTGAATGGAATGCTCCAGAACCTTCTTTAGGTGCTCCAGCTCACCGGGGAATCTGTTAGCTGGAACACTTGCAGAAGCACAAGGGAAACCGGTAAGTACAAACATTCATTTATTTACCACTTTAAATCTTCTATATTCATACTAACTCTTCTTACAGGTCCAAACGCTTCCCCCTTTCAAATAAACATTAAAACAATCATTGAGTCTGGTTTCATTTATCCTTCAGTCATAGAAAAACCTGTGTAATGGACTTGCTACATTACATACTCTTATATGAAGCAAAATTATGCCTGAGACCTTCGTTTACTTTTATACAGTCACATTTCAGAGTTTCAGGCCTTCACACTACAGCAGACAGAGCTCGTTTTTTGGCGGGTGTAGCGGGCATCAGGTATCTCACTCTCTTCCAGAAGGATGAGTTTTGCGCTGCTGCACTCTGCAAGCCCCCTGACCACCTTATGGGGGCGCTCTTGCGAATCAGATGCTGCAGGCCAGGTGGAAGGTGTGTGTACCCTTGGAATCTGGTGTCTCCCAGCTGGACCAGAATCACACTCATCTCCCTTTGAACCAGTGCATGGTGGATCCCAACCTGGAAATGATGCCCAGAAATAAGATATTTATTTAATAATTTATTCTGTACAGAGCACTGCTGCAGGTAGAAATCAAAGGACAGAAAGCCTAACGTGAGCCAAGCTGGTCTTTATTGTGTATTATTCTGAAGTACAGAATGATGAAAACTAGTTCCATCCAAACATTTCCTGCTGTAAGTGTTCCTTCTCCAAAGCAACACCTTCCGGCTCCTCAACTCACTTTTTTCAATGAACAGCAGCAGCACTTTTACCCTGATTTCACCTCAGATGTCTGAACTGCTTATCTTTCGGATGATGGTGGCACAGGAGTTAAGTGCTCACCTCGTAATCGGAAGGTTGCAGGTTCGAGCCCCGCTCAGTCTGTCTTTGGGCAAGACACTTAACCCTCCTTGCCAACTGATGGTGGTCGGAGAGACCGTTAGTGCCTGCGTACAGCAGACTCGCCTCCTATCAGTGTGCCCCAGGGCAGCTGTGGCTACATTGTAGCTCATCCCAACCAGGGTGTGAATGTGTGTGTGAAACGGTAAATGACAAATTGTGTTGTAAAGCACCTTGGGGGTTCCAGGACTTCAAAAGGCACTATATCAACAGGCCATAAACTATTCTCTCTAAGGTTGAACCTCTGAGATGGAGCCTTTTTGGGCTTAGAGCTGTCATGTCCGAGGAGACAACCACCATGTGCTCACAACCAAGACCAAATCGTCCAAATGTGGGAATGCATGGTCAGCTCAGCATGAAATGGACCGCGGGAAAGCAGGGCCAAAAGCAACACATTCTCACACCCGAAGCGTCAAAAAATAACACTGGGTGACCAAGTGTTTGTTTCCGACATGTTGGGAGTCCCGCTGAAACAAACGCTTTGTCACCCAGCATCATTTTTCGACACTTGTGAGAACGTGTTGCCAAAAACTACAGCTGGCTCAGCACAAACAATACCATTGTGAATGCCATTACCTCACCCGGCCCAGATCGAGCTGACCCAAGTCTTAATGCGCAAATGGCGTGTTCTAGGGATGGGTACCGAATTCGGTACTTTTTAAGGTACCGACCGAATTCCATAGTACCGACCGAGCACCGATTCACGTCATTTCAAACGGTGCCTCGTTTCGGTACCCGTCCATCATAACGAGAACTTGCCAAGACAGCTGCGCATGCGCAAGAGCGTTATGTCATCGCTCGCTGCGAACCAGTTGTAAACAGAGCAGTATGGTAGAAAGAACGCACGCTAACGCTTGGGTCCACTTCACTAAATGTGATGGGTAACTGGGTGATGATGAAACCAGCGACAACGATCTAAGTGAGACATCCTCATCTTAATCTGCTCCGGTAAGTAAATATAATTAGCTTGATATGTTAGCTTCCATTTCGCTAATGGTGTGTTCGCTTTCTCCACGGAACTCCGAATTCCCAACTAGAAGAACATGAACGCACTCTAAAGTTTGGCTTCACTTTACTAAATGTGACGGGTGAAGACGAAACCAGTGACAACGATCTAAGTGTGAGGCATTATCGTTTCAATCTGCTCTAGCAGCTAAATAAACTGTTTAAGATAACGTTAGCTTGGTATTTTAGCTTCCATTGCTACCATTGTTATCAGCTAATGGTGCGTTCGCTTTCTCCTCGGAAATTCTAACTTCCCAGTAGGAAAAATCAAATGAAAAAAGACGGCAAAAGGAATGAAGATGCACAGTAAATTTAGTTCACAGTAAAGATGTTTGCTTCAGTTTAATTATCAGCTTATAAAACTACAAGGACGATGTTCTCTTGTCTGATGGCACCATCTAGTGGCTGACAAGCGTATCACACCAAGACATTGTTTCACTTCCGTATTTATGACCAAAAGCAACGCCTCTTGTTCATGAACATGCTATTCTAGCCGACAAAACAAAGCTTCAACACAATGTTTTACAATTATTCAGCTCAAGTTATGTTGTGGTTTCATATATTTATATTTTTAAGACTTGTCAGTGAGAAAGGTCGCTAGCTCTGCATCAACCGAGGTATGTCCTTGAACACTCGAGTACGCTCTGTGATTAATGTCTATACGGAAGCGGTAGTCTAACCCTATTGGTTGGTGCTGACCAGCACGCAGTTCATATCACATTGAGCTTTACGGGACAGGGGGCGGGCTTAGTAAAAAAAAAAAAAAAAAAGAAAAGGAAAAGTGACGTTTTGCCTACATACGATAAGACAATTACTTTTATGGATTTCTAAAAAAATCATACATAATTCCTTCTTTTTTTTTCCCGTGTCCTGTCTAACTGTGAAGCAAACAGAATTGATGTCTGAATGCTGGTGACAAGCCTTACACATTTACTCTCAGGGGAGCATCAAAGCTTCTGCTTTAATGTCACGCCTGATACTTAAAACTTTATTGTTGTTGTTTTTTGAATGCTTTATAATTCCAACCTGACACGAGACAGAGGTGAAAGAGAAAGGAAGAGACAAAAGGAAGGGATGAGGGGGGTTCCACAAAAATAAACAATCAATGATGAACAAGAGTCTCTAGAAAGAGAAGAACAAACAAAAAAAGAAAGAGACACACAACAATACAACTAGAGCAAGCTATCACTGCGTCAACCTGATGAGGAAATATAAAATCAACATTGTTTTACTGAACATTCACACAATAAAACACAGTGAATTTAGTGCCAACCACAGCCTTAAGACATGTGTTGAAAATGCCCAAGTCCATACTTATGAGAGTGCCATGTGAGCACCTGTGTGCATTCACGCGCTTGTTTATGTAAAGCCAGGCGGACACTGCGACTTTTTCACTCGTAGCATTCAGCTTCAGCTCAAACTGTACGACTTCCTCGCAGGGCAGATCTCACGAGTCATGCGCTCACACTGCACGACCCAGTTCTCTGAAGCGATCTGACTGCTCACACTGTACGTCTGGTAGCAACACGTTGGACCTAAAAATATGCTAAAAATAGCAGTTTTTACTCAACACGTCAGACTTTTTTGTCTTGTTTTGCCTGTTGTCCTTCGGGAGTGCTGCAGGAGGACACACAGGGATTTATGGGGGTTGGATGAGGAAAACGAAATAAAGAAAGTAAATCTGTGTTTTGTGATCAGTTTAATTTGACATGAACACGACAAACACGCTTTCTTGACAACCTTTGTGAGTAAAAAAAACGTGTAGAAATAAAAACGAACAAAGTGTGTTATTAGGGAAATAGCAGGCGAGCGGTGTTGATGCAGGATTGCGCATGCGCCATGAGCGGTTCTGGTACTTTTTGGGCCGCAGCTGCTCGCATCGCCGCTTTAACAGTGCGATAGCCTCACGAGGGACGAGCAAAATATTAAACACGCCAGAAGTCCGTGCGAGCTCACGATTGCTGATCGGTAGCTGGTCAAGTGGTGTTAATCGCCTCTTGTAACCCCCTGTACACTACACGACGCTTGGCACAAAACTCGCCCCGATCTTGTGGATTCTCGCACGAGTGGAAAATCGGCTCAAAAAGTTGAAAAAGTCGCACAGTGTACGCCGCTGAGTCTTACCTGCCAGTCAAACCCCCCAATGACTGAGCTTTGGTTTGAGGTTGGACATTTGTTGATAATCCCAGATGCTGAACCTGAAGTGAGGATGACCATCAGTCTGTTACTCTGATTCAGACATTTTTCCACCTGCACCAGATGATCTGTTTGGAAAGATAAAACTTGATTAATGTTATTCAGTGTTTTTATTAAGAAGGAATACATATTGTATCTCTACTAGAAAAGAGATTATATATATATATATATATATATATATATATATATATCTATATATATATATATATATATATATATATATATATATATATATATATATATATAGATAGATATATAGATAGATAGATATAGATATATATAGATATATAGATATATATATAAATAATGGGGTTACTTGAGGGAGGAAAAAGAACATGTCCCTCTGGATCACCTTCCTCTGGAGTTTGCCCCAGAACCAGGGAGAGATCCCTGGAGCAGATCCAGGAGATATTGCAGGGAGTCAGTCCTCTGGCCTGAAATGATTTAGGATTGGGATGGGGAGTATCTAAGGAGGCATGTGATTCCCTCCTGGACCTGTTACCTCCATCACCTGTTGGAGTTTCTAATTTGCCTCTGATCTTCTCATCTTCCAAGTGATGAACTAAATTAACGAAAAATAAAATCTTTACATGGGGCAACATTGGAGGTTAAGGTAAACCTTGATAAGCAACATATACTGGACACTCACAAACATAAAACCACAGGAGGTGTGCGGGAGAGGGTAAAGGGATAAGCAGAGCGAGCAGTGAGTCCATCGTGACTCCGTGACCTTACACCCAGATCCACAGTTCCATGTCAGGAATAGGGAGGGTGGGAAGGCTGAGCGACCGTCTGTATTCATGAAGGCTGAACAAAATAATGTAGAAGATATAAAAATAACCTTCTACACTTACCTCTTTCATTAGCTTCTGATTGAAAATAGATTTTAGGACCCAATATGACTTGAAAAGCCTGACAGCATGACATCACACTGTCACTTAACATTTATGAACTCACCCAGCTTGACTTACAACAGGGAAGGCTGTTGATGGCTTAGTGTCCAGCAAACAGCAGAGAACGTCTTGGCAAGTAGAAGCTAACTGTTAGCATCAGCAACTCCACCACATGGCAAAACTCCTCCAGGCTTGTGTTATTTGTGGAGATTAAACATTCATGTTGCATAGTAAACTAGCCAATCAGAGGTAAGATGTCCAAATATAAAGGAAGTAAGAACCTAAATCCGGTCATATGAGGCGCTTCTCTATTCTAGATCCTGAAACAGGCATATCAGGGCTTTTGGTACCCAGAGTACAACTTAAACGCCATTCTTTCCTGCTAGACCACTGCAAATGTATTGATTAAACAAGTGAACCACACCTTTAAAAAAACACATGAAGTTCATCATTCTACTGAGTTCTGTGGTCAAGCAAATATTCTTTAAATCCTTTACTAAGATAACAGTAAAACTACATGCTAACCTTCTCCTGGTATGTCGTCTCTCCCCTGGATGAAGAGTTGATAACCACACTTTTCTTCAAGCACTGAAGGCAAAGCTACTGTGACAAAATGCAAGAGTTTGTCTTCAGCGTCCTCGTCTAAGTCCTCGGTCTCATAGATCACAAAGGCATCGTACACACTCCCATCTGGGGCACACAGACAACATTATTCAAGCCAATGTTTTCCCTATTTGTTTCTTTTTTATGACTTCATTGGTTGCAAAAGTACCCTAAACCTAACATTTAGTGCATCCTCCTGTTGTCTCATCTCTTGGTAATTTTCCAATTGGATTTATCTGAACAAAGAGGTAAGAGACCTTTATTAAACTGCAGGATATGTGTCAACTAATTATTTGTTGTAAAAGATGCAGGTTCCTTTTAGTCACAAAACATCCGAGTGGAAAATGACGCAACCTGTGGTTGGGGACAATAAATTACTCTTTGTTTGGATTAAATCACTGGTCTGCATCATAAAACAGCTTAAAGAGCAAGTCACCCCCTACCACAGTCTAACTCCACTCCCACTTCATGTTTGAAAAATGCAACAAATGCTGTTGCCTGGCAGACCGAGAGGGCGGAGCTGCTAACAAATACACACATACAGGCTCACGACAGCACTGTGACATCATAATGTACCAGTTTACATCATAGCATACCTCTTAGCCAATAACGGTGGCAGATTTAAATTCAAATACAGTGCAGAGTTTTTACCTGACAATGGTACAACACTGACCGTTTTAGGCAGAATATTTAAATTTTAACTAAGATGTACTGAAGTGCCAAATTATTGACGACACGTGTCTGCAGCACGATTAGACACTCATTTATTTAGTTTATCAGCAATAAAAAGTAGATTTGCGGGTGACTTGACTTTAAAGAGGTTACCAAAAATTCTCATTTCAGAGTATTAAATATTATTTACACACAGTTTCACTTTTGTCTCAGCTGCCAGTTTTGAAAGCAAAGTCCTTCCTTGTTTACCTTGATTGTGTCTGCATTGATGGAGGTAAGGTCTGAAAAAGAGAGCCAGATCAATGGCAAAACACTTGACCAGGGTTGCTGCCAACACGCAGATGAAAAACACACACACTCCTCCAATGGCTAGAGGGATGATCGACTCTGGGGAAAAAAGATAGACTAATGAGGATGAATGCTGTCAGCAGCAGCAGGTATTTGTGCGACAACGGTAAATAGTAATTCACATACTGACCTCTCTGCTTGAGAGTTAAAGTGGTTTCCTTATATGTGTACAACCCTTGACCCTTACATACAAACTCCTGCTGGAAATCTTTTGCTGACACTTTGTCAATAGTCAGGATTGCTGTGGAGTACGTGTTTTTAGAAGGTTCTTCAATTTCTCTAACATAACAACAAGAAAAAGTACTCAGTATAAAAATTACAGAGGGAAACATGATGGGTAAGAATCTCGTAGCTTTTAAAGCCAAAGTAAACATTGCTTTGTGTTTCCTTCAGAATAAACTCAGACTAAGCTCAGGTCATACCGCGTGGTGGCTTGATTGTATCCTGTCATCTGTGATATTTCTTTATTGTTAAGATGCCAGCTGGCCTTGCAGTCACGTTTGACATTGGTTCCACAGAAAATGGTACAGTTCAGCTTGATGCCAACACCTGTAAGATGCATTAAAGGAAAACCTCTTATCTTTAATAGTAATTGTTTTAAAAGCTCTGATTTAAACTCTGAAAACACTTGTAGACTTAAGTCAACAAGTGTTTCCGGTTGGAGAATGACCTTTAGTACACCAAACATAAATAAAAGTTTTATATTTACAGTATGACTGTTTATGGAGGATTTCTTACCTTCATCAGCCAGCTGCTCCTTGTTGTTTGGAGAGAGGATTTGTACATCACGGTTGATATTTGTCTCTGTGAGGCAGCAAAGAATCAAATCAAGTCAAACTTTAGTCATAGAGCACATTTCGTGCAAGGCAACGCAATGTGCTCTGCAGTAGATAAAACATAAAATAATCAATGATGAATCATGTACACACTCATAAAACTAAGTGCATACATACTTAAAATAGACACTTAAAACAATTTTAAACTCATACGCACAAACACACACACACGCACGCACGCACGCACACACACACACACACACATCTACATGCTCATAAAACAGAGACTGAGGTAAAAGTAAGTAAGTAGCAAAAACCTCATTACAAGGCCTTATTTAAAAACACAAACTAAAAAGTAAAACAATAAAACACAACAAGACAACCTAACCATAGGTTTGTTCAAATAAAAGTTTTTAACTTTATCTTAAAAGTTTTGGCTGCTTCCCTCAGGTCTAAAGGCAGAGTATTCCAGATTTTTGGAGTGTATACACTAAAAGCAGCTTCTCCCTGACTTAGAATATGTACGTGGTATGGTATAACCAGGTTGCCATGACCTGCAGACCGGAGTAGTCTCACTGGTATGTAAGGGGTTAGCAGGTATGTTATATTGTGTGGCGCAAGGCCATTAAGAGCTTTATATACAAGCAGCAGGATTTTAAAATTAATTATTTTCTCAACTGATAACCAGTGCCTACATCTTAGAACAGGAGTGATGTGTTCTGATTTCTTTGTCCCTGTCAGAATACGAGCAGCAGCATTCTGAGGGAGGGCTGTCAGGAGGCCATTGCAATAATCCAACCTGCTGGTTATGAATGCATGAATTCATCTTTGAGGCCAATTTTTGAGACAAAATGTTTGACTTTAGAAATGTTACGTAAATGATAGAAAGCTATTTTAGTCGTATGATTTATGTGTTTTTTAATTAAGGTCGCTGTCTAATATTACACCCAGGTTACGAGCTTCACTTTTACATTGAAGAGACAGAGAAGCAAGAAGTGCTACTACTTTCTGTCTCTGGGCATTTGGACCAAATACCAGGATTTCTGTTTTACCTTGATTTAACTGTAAGAAATGTTCTGACATTCATGCATTCATATCCTTTACACATTTTTTAAGAGAGTCGAGGGGAGCTGTATTACCAGAGGACAATCAAATGTATAATTATAAATCATCTGCATAGTTATGATAATTTACATTATGTCTCTGAACAATGTGCACAAATGGAAGCATATACTGATTGAATAACAAAGGACCAAGAATCGAACCTTGAGGTACACCATAAGCAACCACCATGTCTGGACACTGAACACATATTTCTGCACTGCAACAACTTCTGAAATCAAGCTGCAGCTGAAACCTGGTGGTAATTTTCCAGTAATAACTCAGTTTTTGTCAAATCTTGAGGAAGCATGAAATGAGAAAATGTTGTGTCATTTTTAACTGTAGAGAGCCACCTCTCCCCCACTCTTAATTTGATCATGTTGAGCCTAGTGCATATTCAGAAAATGAGTCTTTGTTAAGCTTTTGCAAAGTTTTAACCTTTAATCCATCCAGCCATTCATCCTTCTGCTGTCTCTTATCCAATCTTTTTTTTTTAGAGTTCTGATGAGAATTAAAAAGAGAGATCATATCTCTCCTGTCTTAGCTTCCCTACATTGGCTACCTGTTAAATTCAGAATAGATTTTAAGATCCTTCTTCTCACATATAAAGCTCTTAATAATCAAGGTCCATCATACATCAGTAATCTGATTGTTCCATATGTTCCTAACCGAGCACTTCGCTCTCAGACTGCAGGTCTACGGGTGGTTCCAAGAATATCTACACTTAGGATGGGAGGCAGATCTTTTAGTTATCAGGCTCCTCTCTTGTGGAACCAGCTCCCAGCTTTAGTCCGTGAGGCAGACACTTTGTCTACTTTTAAGAATAGGCTTAAAACATTTTTATTTGATAGGGCCTATGGTTAAAATCTGATGTTAGCCTAAATCTGGACAAGTGGGGGATTACAGGGAGGTGGAGTGTACAGTCGGTAAAGATGGCTCTCGCTTGCCCTGCCTCCAACATGCCTACATCTAAATAGGATAGATTATCCAGGGTTAACTCTGTAGTTATGCCGCTATAGGCTTAGACTGCTGGAGGACACACTGACCACTTTTCACACTCTACTGCTTTATTCTACAGTCTGCTCTTTAACTGTATTATTTTGTGCAATTTCAGCTGTTAACTTTATTTTCTCTGTAAGTGTTTTTCTCCCCAGAAGAAGCTACAATGACGTTCTGCTGAGCTGTGGTGGCCTCATGGAGGGGGCCATCGACTAGCTCACTGCTGCTAACCACTAATACATTCTCTCTCTCCTGATAATAACTTTTTGTTTTCATTGACTTTTGATGTGCTACTACTAGTTTATCAGTTTAATTATAGATCCACTAGGATAAATACAATAAAGTTTATCTTTCACCAAATACAATATTTACTAAGACATCACAATATAACTATAGACACATTACTTGTCTTTGTGTGTGTGTGTGTGTGTGTGTGTGTGTGTGTGTGTGTGTGTGTGTGCGTGCGTGCGTGCGTGCGTGCGTGCGCGTGTGCGCGTGTGTGCGTGTGTGCGTGTGTGTGTGTGTGTGTGTGTGTGTGTGTGTGTGTGTGTGTGTGTGTGTGTGTGTCTGCTCTGTCTTCTCGATCCCCAGTGAGTCGTGGAGGATGGCTGCTTATACTGAGCCAGGATTCTCTGGAGGTTTCTTCCTGTTAAAAGGGAGTTTTCCTCTCCACTGTCGCTGCATGCTTGCTTAGTATGAGGATTGCTGTATAGTCACTGACACTAGTCAGTGACTTGATGCAATTTGCTGGGTTCCTTATATAGGAAACATTATTTCTGATTGGCTTAATGAACTGTGAATTGGAATGCTTATTATGTGAAGTGCCTTGAGACGACTCTTGCCGTGATTTGGCGCTATATAAATAAACTTGAATTGAATTGAAATGTTGGGTAATAGAAATACCAGGTTCAGGGGGGAAGCCCAGACCTCCACCTGCCCAGTAACACCCCAGGGTAACATCAGGCCAGAGCAGATTTGCAATCCCTCCAGCAAGGATCTGCTTATCGTCCTTCCAGTTGAATGCATCCAAAACATATCCAAATGGCAAGAACTAGGAGTCCCCCTAAGAACACAAACCTTCTTGCCCTATTCCTAAGGCTACTTGTATCCAGGTTTATAATGAAAGTTCTGGGAAACAGCAACAAAGATTTAGAACTCTGAGCTAGCCAATGTGCTCCCTCTAAAGCAGGGTGCCCATCTGGTCCTGGAGGGCCGGTATCTAGCACATTTTAGTGGTTTCTCTGCTCCAACACACGATTCAGTGGTTGAATTACCTGTGCAGCAGCTCACCAGGCTCTGCAGAAGTCTGATAATCACCTACTGATTGAAATGAGGTGCGTTGAAGCAGGGTTAAAACTAAAACCTGCTGTGGATACTGGCCCCCCAGGACCAGGATTGATAACCCTAACCCTCTAAAGCAGGGGTCACCAACCTGGTGCCCCCAGGAACCATATAAGGTGACCCCCCCCCCCCCCCCCCCCCCCCCCCCCCCGCCTGTTCTTCTAATAGCACAGGTCTTTTTTTCCTGTTTTTTCTTTCTTTTTCTTTTTTCTTTTCTTTTCAAGTCTAAGATAACATTAATAATTTCTGCTGCCCTCTTTATCATCACAAATGTGTCATGGAAGGTCCTCTAATTTGTGGCAAAGGTCACATTTACCCAGCTGGGTCAAGCTGGGTCAAACAGTACTTTTAAATCCACAGATTAAACAAGGAGCCACGATGTCTGCTCAATATCATATCACCTATCGGCTGCTGTTCCATCCCAGGAGAAGGACACTTCAAGTTCAGGATGATAATAATTAGATAATAATAATTAATAAAACTCTTTGATTTTATTACTGTTTAATATAATCATCATAAATGATCACTTGGTTCAAGCATAAAGGTATTTTAATTACATGAAATTAATTATTATGCTTTGGGTAATAATGAGTAAAGATGATTATGGTTGATGACAGTAAAGAATGTGTTTAGCAAAGAAGGTCAGTTTCACCTTATCCATCTAACACAGAGTCCAGATAAACGATAACTGCATCACATGTTTTGACGCATGACCAAGCTTTCTTGCTGAGAGAGTGGGAGTGTCCTGAGAGCTTTGTAAACTGTAACCATCACCAGCTTCAGTTCAGTTCTTGAACCAACATCACGGAGGAAGGGAACGGCCGTCCCTAAAACCTCCACCTGCTTTTCTGTCACGCCGACAAGAATAGCTAAGAATAAACAAAACTGTAACCAGCTGACGAAAACTCTACCCAGAGTTGTTGATTTCTGAGTTAAGTTAAGACAAAAAACTCCTTCAGAGTTATGGACTTTGAGACGCCAATAGTTCATCAGTCGTGTGACCCACGGAGACAACCCAGGACTGATTTGGTTGCATAGAGGTCCTTCTACCATCCTCGTGCCCGGAGGAAATCATCTCCACCTGACTTCTCGGATCTGAAAGGGGTTCTCCGGAAAATGGGTGAGGTAGACACTAATCGACAGATGACGTTTGATGCTGTTCTCTCTAAATACCTCAGTTAGCCGCAAAACATCATTTCCATCCTGAACGCTTCTTCTCTCTGTGAAAGAAATCTTCTGATAATTCCATTCACGCATTCAAACTCGTATTTTTCAATTTAGCTTCCATCCAGCCACAGGTTTGCTTTTAAAACAAGTTTAATATCAAAACTGTTAAAAATTGTCATTAAATTGTCATCCATGAATTGTCATTTATAATTGTCGTTTCAAATCTTTAAGTTTAAAATTGTTAGTAATTAAATTTCTTCATTTTTAAACTTGCCTCATTATTGAAACGAAACACAGAAAAGGTATAATATTTCTGGTTGTTGTGAAGCAAAGATCATAGCTTCTGATTCAAAATAACTTTTGCTATTAAATTTAATTATCTAAATTAAACATTAATCCTTGGATTAAAATTAGACCAAACAGGTTGGTGTGTGAACTTAGATCGAAATATAAGTATCCGGGATATTTATACACGATCTAAGCCTCATAGGTTGGCCATCTTCAGAATCTAACAACTGATAGCAACCAGTGTTGATTCTAGTGTGTAGTTTAACCTCTACAAATGCATATAGATTTTTAAACTAAATTTATCTTAAAAGAAAAACATTAAAAATGTTTATCAACCTGGTCGGCCTTCATAAGTCTCAACAATGGTGAAGTAGCTCTCAACTTCACACAGGTCGGTGACCCCTGTCTTTCTAAAGAGGAAGAATCTGGTCACCCTTTTCTGGGCCAAGCAACGTCCTCATGGTGTCTTCATAGAAGAGGTCTTGTATTGATGGCAAGAGAAAATGACGTCCTCACTAGAGAAGTCCTATTTGACATTTCTCAAGGGTCAGAGTTCTGATGGGATTTTAGTCATACCAGAATCCAGTGTTTTGCCTGAACGAGTTCACAGAAGGATTGTTCATATTTTGATGAAGGTCTACTGAACTCGCTGTGTTTAACGTGAAAGTGAGCACACTCATTCTGGTGTTTGTGAACGGCACTCTCACATTTAATTTTGTTCAAGAGAGGGTCAGAGGTCCACGGCGCTAAAGCCATGGCATAGACAGTATAAAGAGTAGACCTTGTATTGGCTGCTGTGGTGTAAGAAATGCAGCCCCCACCTTGGACCGGTATCCACGGATGTAAAGTATTCCTCCCAAATAGGTGGTAGCAGTCAACGTGGCTTCTAATCTGTAATGTCTATGCTGTTAACAACGAGATAAGGATTGTTTTTTTTACTTATTCATCACAAATAACATGAAACACTCTCTCACCTAGCTTAATTAGCCTCCTGGAGCCTGAAGTCTTGTACACATGGTGATTGTGAGTCCACGTGCAAACACAGGTGTAGATATCCTCATCCTCTTCAGTGGCATTAAACACCCTCAATTTTGCTTCATGCTCACCTTGACGGAGGTTGGCACCCTGAAGCAAATAGAGCCACAGATGTCAGAGGAAGAATAACAACAAAGTAAGTAACAATAATCTTGTCTCACAAAAATTCTGCATTCAAATTCCCTCTTACATGTTCTACTTCTGCTGCACCAGTTTTGGCTGTTGATTTCATTACTTCTTGTTTAACATGTGAAAGTCAGTAATCACCATGACTATGGCAGCCCATCATTTAGCTCCACCCCCTCACTTATTTGACAGAACACATGCACCGGTGCTTCTCGTAATCATCAGTTCACGAGTTTAACATTTGTTTTGTACTTGCTGTTCTGTTTGGAACGCAGGCGAAAACTATATGTATTTTCCCTTTTATGGGATGAAATTATTAAGGTAATATTAATGAAAATGCATGTGTCACTATAAGCTTTCATGACCTTACCTTGTACCAGGTGAACTTTCCTTTGAACACATCACATGTGCTTTTCACAGGTGATGGACATGAAATAACTTTGTTCAGCTTTGAGTTTTTGACAGCTCCATAAGTGAGATCCTCCCCACTAGATCCATTAAAGACTTTAATAGATACATGATGGGTAACACAATTACCAGATGGAGTTGTTTGCCTGAACAAAAGACAAAATGAAATTATTTTCTTTTACTTGAAAGATTATATTTTTAGGATTTTAAGTACCATGAAATCATCATTGATGATTTCTAAAAAAAAAAAACATCTAAAGATAGTCACCAGCAATTTGTCATTATATATTTATCAGTAACAGTAAAAACGAACTTGAAATTTAAGAAGCATTTATTAGATTTAAAGGTTGAATATGGAACACTGACACTTGTGAACACTCTGGTGAACTCTGGTGTTCAGGTGTGGTATTGCAACAACAGGACTAGCTTTCCAGCCGCTGAGATGTTGGTTGGCTGCTGACTTGTTCTAGCACCATGTTTAAAGACAAATCATACACTATAAGGACTAATTTCTATTAATATGTTTATTTTACAACAGTATTTACGGTTAGAGCCAAAAAGAGCACACGTCACCCCTCTGTTCATTGAGCTCCACTGGCTACCGCTAGCAGCGCGCATCAAATTCAAATTGCTAACACTAGCATAAAAAGTCAGAGATGGTACGGCTCCCATCTACCTGAATCCTCTTGCAAAGGCTTACGTCTCGGCCCGGCCGCTCCAGTCATCACAGGATCGTCAGCTAGCAGTGCCTACACCACGCTCAGGACAATCCAGACTCTTCTCATGCATCGTTCCACAAATGTGGAATGACCTACCAAGCACTACCAGAACAGGGGCTTCCTTTTCAATTTTCAAGAAACTCCTGAAGACCCTGCTCTTCAGAGAGCATCTTCTAAACTAGCACCCTCCCTGCACCCGTCCCCCCTCTGTACTGTCCACTCCTTGTTCCCTCCTCTCCATGATTGATGTCAAGTTGTTATTGTTATTGTTGTTGTTAGCCTCAAGGGCAACATGCCGATTATCACTTGTAAGTTGCTTTGGACAAAAGCGTCTGCTAAATACATAAACATAAACATAGAGCATCTTCTGGGCTCAGAATCAGCTGTTTGGCTTGTCAAGTCTGCCATTTTGCACAGTCCCAACCTCGGACTTTTTAGCACAACGGTGCCGTCTAGTGGCTGATAGAAGTAAACACAAACACAGCGTTGTGTCCGACAGAATAAAAATTTGTTTGTTTATCTTTTTAAATATAGCTTTTAAAGTAGAAACTGTACATCCATTCTGCACACCTCTGAACGCCCAGCAGAGCTATTATTATTATAAAAATATAGCTTTTTATTTAAATGTTCCATATTCTAACTTTAAGAGTAAACAAGAGCGAAGAGCCACTAATTTTCAAAGAAACTGGAGTTCAACTTTCAATATCTCCATAGATCTGTATCACTTGCTGTTGATAATAATCGGCAATAGCAAATAAACACCAGCACAACACAACAGAGCTCCAACAGACGGTGGAAGACATATTACCTGCTGGTCATCAAACTTTGACCACAGCAGCTATAGCATCAGTTTTGCTCAACATAAAGTGAGTAGTAGTTATCTCTGTAGTTATGCTGCTATAGGCTTAGACTGCTGGAGGATACACTGACCACTTTTCACACTCTACTACTTTCTTCTACAATCTGCTCTTTAACTGTACTATCTTCTGCAATTTCAGCTGTTAACTGTTTTTCTCCCCAGAAGAAGCTACAATGATGTTCTGCTGAGCTGTGGTGGCCTCATGGAGGGGGCCATCATCTAGCACACTGGTGCTAACCACTTAAACATTCTTCCTCTCCTGATAATAAATTTTTGCTTTCCTTGATGTTGGATGTGCTACTGCTAGTTTACCCGTTTAATTATAGATCCACTAGGATAAATACAATAAAGTGTATCTCTCACCAAATAGAATATTTACTAAGAAATCACAATGTAACCATAGACACATTGCTTTGTCTTGTGTGTGTGTGTGTGTGTGTGTGTGTGTGTGTGTGTGTGTGTGTGTGTGTGTGTGTGTGTGTGTGTGTGTGTGTGTGTGTGTGTGTGTGTGTGTGTGTGTGTGTGTGTGTGTGTGTGTGTGTGTGTGTGTGCGTGTGTGCGTGTGTGCGTGTGTGTCTGCTCTGTCTTCTCGATCCCCAGTGAGTCGTGGGGGATGGCTGCTTATACTGAGCCAGGATCCTCTGGAGGTTTCTTCCTGTTAAAAGGGAGTTTTCCTCTCCACTGTCGCTAAATGCTTGCTTAGTATGAGGATTGCTGTAAAGTCACTGACACAAGTCAGTGACTTGATGCAATTTGCTGGGTTCCTTATACAGGAAACATTATTTCTGATCGGCTTAATGAACTGACCTGAATTGGAATGTTTATTATGTGAAGTGCCTTGAGACGACTCTTGTCGTGATTTGGCGCTATATAAATAAACTTGAATTGAATTGAATTGAATTGAATTGAATAATAGTTTAAAACCTGAGTTTAAAGCCTCAGGTTAAAGTTCATGGCAATTAGAAAACTTCTTTTCGTGAAACTTCTAAAAATATCCAGGGGATCCAGTGTACCAGTTTCGGGAAGTAGAAAATTGCCACATCAGACATGAGACTCACACAACAAGATGTTGACACTTATTTCCTGATATTTGGACCTCTCACCTCTGACATCTCAACACGATTCTGCCACTGACTCTGTTTGGTCTACAACAACAGATAGGTGTAGGAGACTGTTTTCATGATCAGCCTGCATGCCAAACTTGGAATGACTGATTACAATCAGAAATAATCATTAAAAAAAAGTTTTTTCAGTGTTCCACACCTTTAAGAGAACTAAAACCAGAAGAACGAAAGAGCAGGAAGACTGGGGCCCTCGAGTGAGAAAAAGGTCTATTAAGTGTGAGTAAAAATAAATACTGACACTTTGTGTCTTCGTCAGAGTATTTTCTTAGGGTGACTCCCGTCTCTGACAAAAACACACACAGTGTTGGAACGTTATTAGTTTTTACTCGCACTTAATATTCCTTTTTCTCACTCGAGAGCCCCAGTTTTCCTGCTCTTTCCTTTGTTTTCACTGGCTGTGGAGCACCGACTTGTGAGTGGATGAAGGCTCTACTCAGTCATTAGGGCTTCACAATCCTGAAGCTTTTGTTGGAAACAACTAAAACAGGTAAAGTCCAGTTATTAAAGATAAAACCTTCACCAGCACAGTTTAACTCAAAATTTGGCTCTTGTTTTGATGATCCAGACCCAAAAGATCTTTTGAGCTCTAACAACTAAAGCCTGGATCAAATTTTCTCTAAAAAGCCCTGATTCCAGAAGACAATTTAAAACCCTATGGGCCACTGCTGGTGTCGGTACAGGATCTGCTCGGGTGCCAGATCGGCTCGGGGTCCGTCGACTGCCGATGACGTCAAAGTAGTTGATTGGGTGAACATGAACCTTACGGAAGTTACGTAATCACGTTACGTTGTTATCACGGTCCAGGCAAATCTTTCTGTTGGATAGCTGGACAACTTTAAAAACAAATCCATCATTACCTCTTTGAAAATACACTTTTAGCATAGAGCTGCATGTATATTAGGGCCGAATGATTAATTGCATGTGCAATTAAATTGCAGTGTGACAAAAGGAGATTTTCTAATCGCAAAGGCTGCAATTTGGCAGCGAGTGGTTAGCGCAACGCTAATGTACATGGAAAAACCCATAAGAATGCTAATGCTAATATCACCGATTACATTCTTACAAATTATGAATTAGAAACGTGCCAAATGATTACATTTGGAGTCTAATAGAAAGTAAAACTACCATCAATCAAATAAGTACAGACAGGTATTTTAGTAAAGCCAGAAAACTTTTAACTCCAGAGTTTTGGCTAGCAGCTATGAGCGTAACTGAACTACGCATGGACAAGACGTCAAAAACTCTAACTACAAAATACTTCAATAAACGGGACACACTTCTTTCCTGCAAATACAATTTCACAGGTGTTGCTAATACCTATGATCCTTCAAGGGATGTGCTCAAAGAGGAGTTCAACATTATGAATAAAACATAGTGTTTTATTTTACAAATACCATTATAAACACAAACTTACATCTTAAGAAACATTATTTTAATAACGAAATTGCTAAATTCTTTCCAACAATATAAAGATGTGTAGTGTATTTTGTCCAAGTGGGTTTGCCGTACTTTGACGTCATGGGCAGTCGAAGGACCCCGAGCCGATCTTGCACCCGAGCAGATTCTGTACCGACACTGGAGCTATAAGAAGCCTTCTACAAACTTCAAAGACATATTTTCTTTATATGGAATGATAAAGTTTGTTTTTTAATACAAATAAATAAATAAACAAACATGAAAAATCGATAGTGGCCTCAGGCTGATAAATAACAACATTGGATAAGACATCATTCCACTCTAAAGCTGGTTAAAAACAAGATTTATTACAATCACATTTTAAAATAACATATTCGAGCTGATATGGAGTATAAATGAAAGCATTAATGTAATGTAGGGACAAGTAATCTTACTTGGCTGTGTAAGAACCAGAATCAGCAGTGCTGACGTTTAGGAGAAAAAGCGCCCCGCCATGGTGATGTGTCTCGTGCGTCTCATCCGTGGTGATATTCTCAACCTCCAGGCCATTTTTGTACCAAGTAAAATTTTCATCAGGGGAGTTAGGATGATCCAAATCATACGGCACAAAATAAAACGATTCACCTTCAAGAAGTTTAAAATGTTCCAAGTCCAGTTCAGAGCAAGTTGAATTAGATGTCGCCGACACTGAGGGAAAAGATGATAATGAATTAGACGCAGGGCTAACAACTCTCACGCACTGAAAAAAACTCATTATTTTGAGAAAATAAGTCAGAATTCTGAGAAAAAAGTAAGAATTTGCTTTCTTTTCTTTATTTTCTTGTCAGTGGCTCTAATCCTCTTCCATACAGAGTACTAATAAATAAATAAATAAAATGTAGAGCACAATAAGTCTCAATATTAATAAACCCCCCCACTCTAAACGGTCGGCGAATTGTCCGCTCCCAACCCCATCACTCCCTCTCACTCTTTGAAATGTTCAAAAGTTGGCAGCCTTTAGCCCTGATGACATGTGAGAAAAACTGTAAAAATTGTAAATGTTTTTCACAGCATCACTAATAGGGGTTGGGTATCGAAACTCTGTACGCCTTTGGTGATGACCGAAAGCATTCAGTAGTTACTGGTGTTTCCCGTGCAAAGTTTCAGTACCTTTCCAAAAAACGTTCCCTGCTAATGTGGCGCTCCATTTCTTTCACCTCTGTGATGCGCAGAGAAGACAAGTTTGTTTACCAAATGCACTGCACAAATCTGCTCCCAAATCTGTGTTCCCTGAAAAAGGCTTTTTTGTATCATTCTGAAATGTACATTATTCTTCAGTTTTCATTAACCGTACTGTTTTTTAACCTCTGTCAGTTCACCACTTATCTTTGTACCATTTCAAGCTATTCATTGGACTTGAATGACTTAAACTGCAACTGGAAAATTTGGGGCGTTCTAAAGCTTTTGACCGGAAGTGGATGTACACCTCATACAAATTTATACAAATGAATGCAAATGGGTTTTCAGTCAACTGCACCTTTAAGTATAACCTCCTAATCCTACAGTGCACTACTCATTTCATAATGACAATTTATGAAAGCTATTCTCTCAACAAATAAAAAATTAAATCAATCTTCCCTCTGCACACACTACCTGATCTCCATTCGTACGTAGAGATGAGAGCAAGCAGTGGCACGAGAAGCTGTAAGGCATCCATCAGCTGAAAACCAAAAGACACATACTGATGTTTTGCATACTTTTTAATCATAAACTGCTCTGTAATATGTGGTTTGGATTATCTTTGGTTAGTTTCGCAGCTACCAGAAACTTCCTCAGAAAGCTGCCCCCACAGAAGATTAGGATCAAGACATTTACACAGTAAAAAGAAAGTTCTTATCAGAGCTCAGTTACAGGCACTAGATGCTTTTACATAATCATGCTACAGAACTGCCAGAAAGATGTGACATGTTTAGTCAAGTTTATTAAACGTTTGATGCAGTAAACACACACACACACACACACACACACACACACACACACACGCGCACGCACGCTCGCACACACACATCCTCTGTAGTGATGGGTCAATAACAGTCCTAATTGAAACGATTTGTCCTAAAACCATGAGCAATAGTTTATGAGATGAGATAAATGTTTAGTGTCAAAGTAAATTAAACAATTGAATTTCCATTCTTCTGCATTACAACATGATTGATTGAAAAGCTATTAGAATGAAATAGTTGTAGTGTATGAAGTGGCTAGGGGTGTATAATCTTAAATATACAGTGGTGTAAAAACGCACAAATATTAAAGAAGCCCCATGAAGGTGGTTAAAGGCAGCAGAAAAACGTTATGTTCTGGTCCCATTATGACTAATGTTAAGGTTTGTTCATGGCTGATGTCAGTTTCTCCAAACCGAGTCTGTTCATAGCACTTTGTAAAACAGATTAAACATGAATTGTTCATGAGCTTTTCGTAGAAACACATTTCATAAGATCTGAACTTTCTTGTGAATGGATCCACGTGGCTTCATGAGCAGTGCTGGTAAAACAGCATAAATATAAATATGATCTTACCTTTAAGGGGACTTTCTCTGCTCCTTCCTCTAAACTATTTGAGGTCCCTGTGAGCAGGAGGCTCACGTGAGAAAATGGAAGAAAAGGATGCGTTTCTGACAAATAATTAAATGGTGCAACAACCAGAGAGGTGGCTGTTATCTCTCCTCCTCCGACTGGCTGCTGCTCTCTAAGCTGAACATGCTTTAGAGCAGATAAAGCGCCTTATTTTCCTGGAAACTAAACAGCTCTAGTCTTTTCTTTTTTCTGAATGAAAACAAGGAGCAAGTGAATCAGTGAATCAATATTTATAGTGGCGAGCCCTAGTTATCTTCCATTCCGGTCGGCTCATGTTCCTCTGACCGACAAAAAAACAAAGTCAATTTAGAAAAGTGTTTGCTCCTAATGTCTGTCTCAATTTGCTATAAAGGACACAAAGTATGGAATAATCTGCCAACTTCTCACTGCTGTCACAAATTCAGTTAAGAAAAGATCTCTGCTTCTGAGTCATTCCAATATTCCTTCTGGGATACATTCCTAAGCTCATTTTTGAACACTGGTCAAATAATTCTGTTTTAAAATGAATTTATTGTAAGTATTTCTATGTACAACAAATACAATGTTGTATGTACATTGATGTATGTTTGTTAAAGATGGAATATGGAACATTTTAATAAAAATATCTATTGTTAAACAAATAATACCTCCGTTTAGAGGTGTGCAGAATGAATGGACAGGTTTCCTTGAGAAGATGTGTGTAAAAAAAAAATAACCTAATTTTTATTTTGTCGGGCACAACACTGGGTTTATGTTTACATCTACCTGCCACTAGAGGGCACCGTTGCACTAAAATGTCCGCTCAGCAAGGCGAGGCTGGGACTGTGTAAAATGGCAGACTTGACAAGTCAAGCAGCTGATTTTGAGCCCAGAAGATGTTCTAACAGTAAATACTGTGAAATTAGTCCTGACCCTGTACAATTTGTCAGCATGGTGCTGCTGGTCAGCAGTGAACCAACGCCCCGAAGGCTGTAAAATATTTTCTGCTGTTGCAGCTACCACCTCTGAGTGTCCGTGTTCCATATTCAACCTGAGGCTTTTTTGATAGCCTTCCATACATTACTATTACCACATGACAAGCCACATATATAGAATTAAAAAAATGTTCATGAAAAGAGTAATTTTCAGGTCTGCTTTACCTTACTCCCTGAATCACATTAAGTAGGGTTAGGGTTGAAGGCGCTCCACAACACAATCACCCATTCACACGCTGGTGGTGATGAGCTATGATGTAAACACAGCTACCCTGGGGCGCACTGATAGAGGCGAGGCCTGCCAAACTCTGACCACAACCAGCAGGCGAGGGAGGTTAGGCGTCTTACCCAAGGACACAACAGAAGCATTCTCTGGTCAGAGCTGGGATCGAACCTGCAACCTTCTGATTACCGGACAACCCGCTCTACGTCCTGATCTACTGCCTTCCCTGTATATGTTGTACTCTTGTGACAGAATGTGGAGTTATTCTAAACCTGACTCATGTATTATTTTACAGGTATTTCCCCTTTTTCTTATAGTGCTATTGCCATCATCGGCAGTGTGGGGAATATGCAAGAGTGTGAATAACAAAAAGTGATTTGTGTGCCTTGAAAAGCACTAACTAAATCTAATCCACTACTATTACTATTATTACAACCATGAGAAACGCCTTATCCAGTGACACAGACTGTCTTTAGTCTAACTTAATGAGGGATGGAGCCTTCCAGACAACAGCTCCAAGGCTGTGGTACTGGTCATAAATTAGAATATCATGTTTCATGTCAGTAACTCCTTTCAAAAAGTGAAACGTGTACATTAGATTCATTTATTAGACACTGACTGATATATTTGATATGTTTATTTTGTAATTTTGATGATTATAATTCAAGGCAAATGAAAATCCCAAATTCAGTATCTCAGAATATTAGAATGTCAATTAAGACCAATGCGAAAAACAAAAAGACAAGACGCAATAATGTCAGAAGAGAGATGATGACAGAAGCGTCTCACCTGCAGACAAAAAGGACTGGATTACTGCTGAGTGGTCCAAAGTTATGTTCATTGATGAAAGTCAATTTTGCATTTCCCTTGGAAATCAAGGTCCCAGAGTCTGGAGGAAGTGGGGAGGAGCACAGAATCCACGTTGCTCCAGTGTAGTTTCCACACCCAGTGATGGTTTGGGGTGCCATGCCATCTGCTGGTGTTGGTCCATTGTGTTTTCTGAGGTCCAAGGTCAATGCAGCTGTAGCCTAGGACAGACCTTGTATGTCAGAGGTCACCAGAAATTGATTTTTCCACAGCCTGCTTCATCAGTGGGCCAAGGGTTAACTGTGTGCTTTCCACCAAGACATAGGCTGTCTACAACCTTGCAAGAGGAGGAAGCCATAATAATATTCCATCTCCTGACTCCCTTATCTGGCCTGCAACTCACAAGTCTATTCAGGAGAGAGACTTTTCTCATTTAACAAAACGATTCTCATATTTGTCCTATAGAATGCTTTCTTCACTTTACAGATGAATTACAATTACATTACCTACAAAAATTGTTTTATCTAAAGTGATTTGATAATGCCTTGACTGCTTTATAGTAATGAATGAATCAACATAAATGTTTATTACTTCATGACTTATTTCAGATCTTAAATACACGGCTCAAACTCGGAGGGGGGGGGGGGGGGGGGGGGGGATGATTGTTGGAAGTTGGAAAAGGGTAGAATGCCTTCTTCGGGTCAGGGTTGAGGTCCTGCCCCAAGTGGAGGAGTTTAAGTATCTCAGGGTCTTGTTCACAAGTGGGGAAAAACTGGAGCATGAGACCGATAGGCGGATTGGTGCTGCATCTGCAGTGATGCGGGCGTTGTACCGGTCTTTCATGGTGAAGAGAGAGCTGAGTCAGAAGGCGAAGCTCTTGATTTACCGGACGATCTACGTTCCTACCCTCACCTATGGTCATGAGCTTTGGGTAGTGACCAAAAGAACGAGATTGCAGATACAAGCGGCCAAAATGAGTTTTCTCCGAAGAGTGGCTGGGCTCTCCCTTAGAGATAGGTTGAGAAGCTCGGTCATTCGGGAGGGGCTCGGAGTAGACCCGCTGCTCCTCCACATCAAGAGGAGCCAGTTGAGGTGGCTCCGGCATCTGGTCAGGATGCCTCCTGGACGCCTCCCTGGTGAGGTTTTCCGGGCACGTCCAACTGGGAGGAGACCTAAAGGGAGACCCAGGACACGCTGGAGGGACTATGTCTCTCACCTGGCCAGGGAACACCTTAGGATTCCCCCAGAGGAACTGGCCCAGGTTGCTGGGGAGAGGGAAGTCTGGGCCTCTCAACTTAGGCTAATGCTCCCGCAACTCGACTCCGGATAAGTGGATGAAAATGGATGGATGGATGGATGGATGGAGTTAAAAATAAGAAAACAAAAGATTTATGTGAAAGAAGCTTTAAATAAAAGGGTCTTTAGCTGTTTTTAAAAGGATCCAGACTGTCAATACTACGTAAGGATAAATGAAGATCATTTCAAAGATGGAGTGTAACAGCCTAGAAAGACCAATCACCTCGACTTTTATATCTGGTCTTTGGAACTTATAGAAGGTTCTTGTGGGTGGACCTGAGGGCTCGGGTTGGAGCATAAGGCTTTAACAATTCAGTAATATAGGGAGGAGCTTGACCATGTAGAGCGCTGAAAGTTATAATCAGGATTCTAAAATGAACTCTAAAGTTAACGGGTAACCAGTGCAGAGACTTTAGAATAGGAGTGATGTGAGCTGTTCTGTTTTCTCCAGTTAAGAGCCTCGCTGCAGAGATCTGGACCAACTGAAGGCAGTCATGGGCATTTTCATTTGAAAACTGTGTTACAGCAATCTAGACGGGAGGAGATAAAGGAGTTGATAACCATTTCAAGTTCATGTTTTGACACCAACCTTCACAGATTGGAAATATTTCTTAAGTGATAAAAACCATTTTTGAGTGACCTTCAAGCGACATGAATGGTCAAAAACACACCCAAATTCAGCAATCTTCATACTTTGCAAGCATGCAGCGACAGTGGAGAAAAAAACTCTCTTTTAACAGGAAGAAACCTCCAGGGGATCCTGGCTCAGTATAAGTAGCCATCCACCACGGCTCACTGGGGATTGAGAAGACAGAGCAGACACAGACACACACACACACACACAGACGGAGCTGGCCCAAGTGGCTGGGGAGAGGGAAGTCTGGGCCTCTCGACGCTACTGGCCCCGCAACCCGACTCTGGATAAGCGGATGAAAATGGATGGATGGATGGACAAATAACATAGATTTACATGTAAGTAGTTTAAATAGAGTGCTGTGCTGTTTGAGTGTATAAACTGAACGCCAAGAGAAATCACTAGTCTGATTTTTTTTCCGTTGAATAAAATAAATATGTCAGGCAGGGGCTTCTCAGGGTCTGTCTGAGATCTGTCTCGGTGAGACCGATAATAGCAATCCAAAGTGCTTTTTATGTATGATCTGACAATTGATCAACCATTGCTTAAAAATTAAATACAGCTTAGCCGGTTAATTGCTGTGATCATGAAACACGTAAACGGCAGCATGCAGAACTCACGAGGCAACGTTTTACGTGTTGTTTACTTGTTGCTGTGAGTAATAAGACAGAAAAAGCCACGCCAAAATAAGTTTAGGAAGCCCACTAAGAATCGTAATAAAAGTATTTAAAATAAATACCATACACAGTTGAAGAAACGTTGGTTGACGTACCTGATATGAAGTGGTCGCCGCATAAGCGAAAACCTTTACTCTCGGGATCCCACAGTTTCATTTTAGCCCGGTCACTAGCACGTTTTATTACAATGATCCAACGTTTGCGGCGTTCCAGATCTTGGGGAATCCTGTAGATGGCTCATTCCTTATGTCGTCTGCATCTGTTCTGCATCCTGGGGCACAACAGGAGTCTACCATCTTTCCCGTTTGATTGAGTTTTCTGACAATAACAAATAGTCCAGCTGCGGGCTTCTGCCTGCCAATATGGCACCTTTTCGATCTGAACTGTTGCATGCCGGGAGAAGTGACGTCAACTCCCGGAACTCTATAGCAACATATCTACAGAGATAACTCTGGATAACCTAGCCTTTTAGATGGAGGCATGTTGGAGGCAGCCACCACCAGCAGCCTGCACAATGCTAACAAAGCATGATGGATCCTTGTTCTCATTCTGTTTACGCCAAATTCTGACTCTACCATTTGAATGTCTCAACAGAAATCGAGATTCATCAGACCAGACAACATTTTTCCAGTCTTCAACTGTCCAATTTTGGTGAACTGGTGCAAATTGTAGCCTCTTTTTCCTATTTGTAGTGGAGATGAGTGGTACCCAGTGGGGTCTTCTGCTGTTGTAGGCCCTCGGCCTCAAGGTTGTGCATGTTGTGGCTTCACAAATGCTTTGCTGCATTCCTCGGTTGTAATGAGTGCTTATTTCAGTCAAAGTTGTTCTTCTATCAGCTTGAATCAGTCAGCCTATTCTCGTCTGACCTCTAGCATCAACAAGGCATTTTTGCCCACAGGACTGCCGCATATGGGATGTTTTTCCCTTTTCACACCATTCTTTGTAAACCCTAGAAATGGTTGTGTGTGAAAATCCCTGAAATTGAGCAGATTGTGAAGTACTCAGACTGGCCCGTCTGGCACCAGCAACCATGCCACGCTCAATATACCCTAAATCACCTTTCTTTTCCATTCTGACCTTCAGTTTGGAGTTCAGGAGATTGTCTTGACCAGGACCTCCTCCTTGAACCGACACCTTATCGTGGTGGAGGAGTTTAAGTGCCCTAATGATCCTAGGAGCTATGTTGTCTGGGGCACTTTGTACCCTTGGTAGGGTCTCCCATGACAAATGGGTCTTAGGTGACGGGTGAGACAAAGAACGGTTCAGAAGATCTTTCATGGATGTAAAAACAAAGAGTCGGAGTACCCGGCCCAGAGGGTTACCGGGGTCCTACCCTGGAGCCAGGCCTGGGGTATGGGCCCGTGAGCGAGTGCCTGGTGGCCAGGCTTTCGCCCATGGGGCCCGGCCGGGCCCAGCCCGAACCGGATACATGGGCTCATCCAACTGTGGACCCACCACCCGCAGGAGGAACATGAAGGATCCGGTGCAGTGTGTATCGGGTGGCAGACCGAGGCGGGAGCCTTGGCGGTCCGATCCCCAGACAAGGAAACTGGTTATTGGGACATAGAACGCCACCTCGGTGATAAAGTCGGACTCACCTCGACACATAGCATTGGCTCTGGAACCCAAGTCCTTGAGAGGGTTTGGACACTCTCCTTTGCTGGAGTTGCTCCGGGTGAGAGGCGGGGGGGCTGGGGTTGGCTTTTTGTTAGCCTCAAGACTCTCTGCCTGTGTGTTGGGGTTTACCCCGGGGGGCGAGAGGGTAGCTTCCCTGTTCCTTCGGGTCGGGGGACGGGTCCTGACTGTTGTTTGTGCTTATAGGCCAAATATCAGGTCAGATTACCCACCCTTTTTGGAGTTCCTGGGACGAGTGCTCCATCAGGGGACTCTGTTGTCCTGCTGGGGGACTTCAATGCTCACGTGGGCAATGACAGCATGACCTGGAGGGGTGTGAGTGGGAGGAATGGCCCGCCTGATCTGAACTCGAATGGTGTTTCGTTATTGGACTTCTGTGCAAGCTGCAGTTTGGCCATAACGAACACCATGTTCGAACATAAGGATATCCATCGGTACACTTGGTACCAGGGCAGCCTAGGTCGCAGGTCGATGATAGACTTTGTAGTCATATCAACTGACCTGAGGCCATATGTTTTGGACACCCGAGTGAAGAGAGGAGCGGAGCTGTCAACTGATCACCACCTGGTGCTGACTTGGATCAGATGGCAGGGGAAGATGCCGCATAGACCTGGCAGACCCAAACACATAGTAAGGGTCTGCTGGGAATGCTTGGTAGAAAAACCTGTCAAGACAGTCTTCAACTCCCACCTCCGGCAGAGCTTTGACCACGTCCCGAGAGCAGTGGTGGACATCGACTCCGAGTGGGCCTTGTTCCACTCTGCGATTGTTGATGCGGCTGTTGCTAGCTGTGGTCGCAAGGTAGTCGGTTCCAGTTGTGGTGGCAACCCCTGTACCCGCTGGTGGACACCAGAGGTTTGGGGAGCCGTCAGGCTGAAGAAGGAGGCCTACAGGGCGTGGCTGGTCTGTGGGTCTCCACAGGCAGCAGACGGGCACCAGGTAGCCAAGCGGGGTGCAGCAGTGGCAGTTGCCGAGGCAAAATCTCGGGCGTGGGAGGAGTTTGGTGAGGCCGTGGAGAAAGACTATTGATCAGCGCCAAAGAGGTTCTGGCAAACTGTCCGGCACCTCAGGAGAGGGAGGCAGCAACTCACTCACACTGTTTACAGTGGGAATGGGGAGCTGCTGATGTCAACTGGGGCTATAGTCGGGCGGTGGAAGGAATACTTTGAGGAGCTCCTCAATCCCACCTACGCACATTCCGAGGAGGAGCCAGAGCCGGGAGACCTGGTGATGGACTGTCCAATCTCTGGGGCAGAAGTTGTTGAGGTAGTCAAACAACTACACAGCGGCAGAGCACCGGAGGTGGATGAGATTCGTCCTGGGTATCTCAAGGCTGTGGATGTGGTAGGGCTGTTGTGGTTGACACGTCTCTGCAACATTGCGTGGTCATTGGGGGC